TTTTTGTCACAATGCGGCTTCATTAACTAACCTTTGTACCTGTTCGTCTATCCGTTCTGATTGATTTTCCAGTGTACGAGATTTAATGGTTTTTTTCCGTAAAGGTTTACGTTTTGGTTGAGATGCGGATACTTAATCCGAATATTCTTCTGCCCCAACTTCAGGAGTAAATATTGGCTGATCCAAATATTCTTCTGTCATAGTCTCAAAGTTTGGTTAATACGATTATTAATGTTTCAGTTTCACAGTCTGGCTGATATTCCCTTGTTCTGTGTAAGAGTCTTCTACAATATCACATCATTGGAGCTGCTTCATTACCTTTACCAAAGCAAAAACTTTTTATAAGTGTTACTTATATGTAATTTAATTAATTGTGTGTTTTTAATTTTATTTTATTTCATCACATGTTATTGTAGTGAAAACTTTATTCACTGAATTTGACATTTTCCCGGAAAAATTCAGTTCAATTCTAATAAGTAACAATGTTGCTACACTGTAATTTTAGCTGAATTAGTTCCTGACCTTGATTCAAAATTAGTAAACACAGAGTGAAAATCATTGATCGTAGTCAACGTCATATTTGGCTTGTGTGTCGCTCTGTTGTAAACAATTTAAAATTATTATTATTATTATTATTATTATTATTATTATTATTATTATTATTATTATTATTATTATTATTATTATTATTATTATTATTATTATTATTATTCAATCTTACAGTAAGATTCGTTAGGAAAAATCAAATTCGTCAATGACGTATGTGTCAATCGTCTTAGGTCTGAATGCGCCATTCGAATTAAGTTGCCACGTGACCCCATCACGTGATCTACAATTCCTTTAGAAACTAACGTTTTAAATGATTGAATTTAGTCGTAAATTGATACCTCATGAGCTCAAATGAGTTTTATATTGTGACGAGTTAAATTGTAATTGAAACAATTTATTCACCCTGGAAAATACATGTGTTAATCAGAATTCTTGGATAAAGATATTTATTGGAAATTATTCGGAATTCTAAACCCGGTATATTATTATTGATTCATAAAAGTAAACAAGGAACTATTGACAAAACAGCACTAAACAGGTTATAGAAGACGTCATTGCTTTTCATCTTGGAACTTCATCCGGATTCGAACTTTGAGAGGATTAGAACATATAATAATAGGACTCATATTATTCATTCTATGTTTAATTTTGGATTAGATTCACAAACCGTAACTTTTTTCACATTTTTACATTGTTTTCTAGGGAAATAACTATTTTTGTTAATTTTTATAAAGTTTGTTGGCTTCACTCTTTTCTCTGTTACTTTGTACGAGCCTAGTCACGTAACATAAATCTCAAACACCTTACCGGAGGCCTCTTGTAGATCCAGTTACAAGCTTGACGGTTCTTTTCATATTGAGTCTTTCCAGTTATTGGAGTAGTTTATGAACGTGGTGTCATTTTAGAGAGCAGTTTGGTGGATCCTATAGAGATGGTTACTTGGGACCTATTGGGAAAACTTTGAGAATAGCAATGAAATGGTGATTATGGTATTTTTCTTGCATTTTTAAATTGGTGGATACTGTTGTCGATGTGTCATCTATTATCCGGGGAATACAGAGTGCTGTGTATAGGAAAGAGAAAACTAAAATAATAATAAATGTGGTTAATGATCCAGAATTTGTCATCTATATTACTGTTTGGGGTACAGTTGTACGAGAACTAGATGATATATACCGGTACTAGTGGCACATATTCGATTCCTGCTCGGAATAAATTATATCAATATGTTATAACTATATAACTTTATTAAGCATATTTGTGTCATTCTATTTAAATTTCTTTCATATAATTGTGTATACAAATTTAATTTGGGATCCCGTGACAAGCACATCTCTAAGTTATTAAGGTATCGATTTAAAATTATCATTTCGTGTATATTACTTGTATTTCTTAACAAAGTTCCCGTGTTTGTGCATGTCTATGAGTGTCACATTTCGTTCACCTCGAGTCCTTTGCTTCAATCTATTTTTAAAAGGAGGGTGTCAGATACCCCTACTCAGCTTTGTCGGGGTAGGTTGTCTGGATTTTGGTTATGGAACGAGTAAATATCAATATAAAGTGTGAAAACGTATAGGTTGAATAAATAAAGATATGAGCAGGTATCTAGAACAGAATTACACGAACCCACTTTACAAAGACAAAATTTAATCAAAATTCATACCAATACAATTCATAAACAATTGTGGTAATGCGTTAAGATTGAAAAATACACTTCTTTCTTTTTTCAATTAACTTATTCAACGAATATTAAATACACATATGCTTAAATCATTACCAAATCGAGTAAAAGAACAAAAACATTGCCTTGTATAGTTTTATAACCTCATGGTCTTAATTCAGTCCAAATTCCACAGCGACTGTTCCTTTTGACTTCCTTGTGCTGATAAGTCTGTGTCTTATTTACTTTTCCTTTTCTTTTCCAAATTAGTAGGTATCAAGTCTCTTTCACCCTTCCAAATTTGTGTAGTCACTTTGGTTTTGTTAATACGTATTACATTATGTCACGTGAAGCTATCTTACCTTCCAAAATAACAAAAATGAGCAACCTAAGTCTTCCGTCTCATTATACTGGGTATATAGATCAATACCCCCTCGTTAAGTTAGATATATGTAGTTCTATCGGAATTCAAACAGATAACAACGGCTATCTAGTCTAACTGACAATACAATCCTAGTTTCAAACGATTAATGGTCCTGTTAATGACTATTTCAACACGCCACCGAGACATTATTTCCAGTCCTATCTCAATTATACAAATGAATGAATTTCCTTACACTACGGTATTTATAACAAATGCATACAATAAAGATGTTATTATACGTGACCTCATATAAAGTCGGAGAATTCGTCTCATTAAAAAAATGTCATGACATTATAGATACATATGTTACTATAATAATCGAAACTACATTCAAACGATTCGTCAATGTACATAAATACAAATTATCATTGTACGAATTCAGATAAATAATCTCAACACAGTTATTCTAGATACATAATTTCCTATAATAACCGAGATAACATTCAAACGAGTCGCAATGTAGTACAACATATCATTTGCAAGAATTTGGACAATGAACTAAACAGTTTTACTTATCTTAAGAAAATTGATCAACGAATTTAAACAAATAAATCCATGCAAATGCAAGCAAATAAATCAACAAATTATCATAGTAGTATTGACGAATTACATAATATTGTTGCAAATACCTTGTGTTTCCAAGTTCTTAATTCCAGAATTGCGTCTGCCAATTCTCCAGATAATTATTTTCCCTGGATAAAGTCACGGGTGAATTTACTTTTTAAAATCACCCTAAATCTTCTTACATTTGTTTCTTTTGAAGAAAAAAAGCGTAAACCGATTTCAGATTTTTGATTTGCACATTTTAACAGAGAGTTTCAATGTGGAACCACGCCACTTAACAGCGTGACCAATCTAAGTGAAATATATTCCCACCTGAACTAGGCTCAAACAATGCATTTCGTCTGATTATTAAATATTCTTCCCTGCAATATTTCAAATCTGACAAGTCCGCTACAGATCAAAATTAACCCCAGACATTTTCAATTTAAACAAACGAATCCCTTATTTAAAAATCAATAAACGCATGACAGAGATGGTACCAATCCGTGCATTATGGCTATTTGAACACGCGCAGGTCTCCCATAAATCTAATTAATGGTACACTTGTCCAACTAAATGTGTTCTACAGAGATCGACAGAAACATTTGCCCCATTACATAGGGTAGCATGACAGTGATGGTTGTGGCTATGAGAACTGTTGCGTCAACGTCGTTACTCGCATCATGGTTTCGATTCCTGCTTGGAAGGATTAATAACCTGATTGATTAAACTGTCATCATTCCTATCCACCTTATATTTGTTAAAGATTTTCATTTTTTAACTTTAAAATAGTAGATACACTTGATACTGTACGTTGGTAAAAACCAGTACACTATATCACTATACTATATCTTACTTGATACTGAACATTGATTACAGGACCAGTACACTTTATCACAATACTATGTTGTACTTGAAACTGTACATTGGTAATAGACCAGCATACGTTATAACTATACAATTTGTTACTTGATACTGCACATTGGTTACACAACAAGTACACTTTATCACTAAGCTATTTGCCACTTCATAGGGTACATTATTACAAGACCAATACACCTTATCGCTATACTATGCGTGGCTTGATACTGTACATGATTACAGGACCAGTACGCGTTATCACTATACAATGTTTTACTTTATACAGTACATTGGTAAAGAACCAGCACACGTTATCACGATACCATGTGTTACTTGATAGGCTACATTGATACAAGACCAATACACGTTATCACTATCCTATGTGTTACTTGACAATATATGTTGAAAAGGACCAATACACTTTGCCACTATACTTAATAATGTACATTGAAAACGGACCAATACACTTTATCACTATACTTAATAATGTACATTGAAAACGGACCAATACACTTTGCCACTATACTTGATATTTTATATTGATAAAGGACAGTACGCTTTACCAGATTATGGTAAAATGTTATATCCATTTTTTTTTACGAAGATCACTGAAATAGCCAACACTTACTTCATGACAAAGGCAATACATTTTATTAACACTAAACCAGATTAAGTAAGCGCAGGTGTATGTGTATGTATGTGTGTGTGTATGTATGTGTGTGTGTGTGTGAAAGAGAGAGATTTATGTCGCTTTAGCAATTATTCAGTCATATCGCAACGATGTCTTCAGTGTGACAGTTTATAGTGATATCTAGAACAAGGGCATCATGCCGCAGACATTTGGCATGATCCCCCACCCAGTCACATTTTCTTGACACCAGGCCAACCAGTCCTCATACTAACCTTTTAATGTTAAACGTCAAGCGAGGCAGCTGTTAGTATCATCTTTTAAAGTCTTTGTTATTTTTCGACCGGGGTTCGAACCTGCGACCTCCCGCATCCGAGGCGGATGCTCTAACCACAAGGCCACCGGAATGGTAGTAAGCAAAGAAGTAGATAGTTATATAGATGGTTCCTGACTTGTGTGTATCCGTTTTGGGGCCGATTTAAGATAATTATATAAATTATGATGGACACTAACAAAAAACTTTCCAGAATCCGTGTAAATATGTCTTATTTGAAACAAGACTTTTAATTCAGCTTGTAATTGGTATGTATCAGTTTGCGATAAACACTAAATTATCCCAATAAAACGTATAGGAAGTGTCTTACAGTGCAAAATATCTTGATTTTATGAAATAAGGAATTAAAATCAAAATGTGTTTTTACACACTGGGAAACTATTTGAATGACAAACTGCCGAGTAATAAATTTAATTCAAACGGAGAGAGAGAGAGAGAGAGAGAGAGAGAGAGAGAGAGAGAGAGAGAGAGAGAGAGAGAGAGAGAGAGAGAGAGAGAGACTTAAAACGATGATAATCGGCATGGACACCTGCAGTGATGATAATGATGACCGTGACTAAGGCGATAATTGTTATGACAACTACTGATGACGACGGTGATAATATTAATTATGATGAAGACAATGAGATCGACAAGGGTAACGACGATGCGTGATGATGAAACTCATGCCAAAGATGTGGTTATGTGCCTTTTATAGCAAAAATATGACTGCAACCCATTTCTTATTAGTTTTATAATTTTAGTCTCTCTCCTAAGCTTAATGGGGAGAAGTAACCTGATGGGACCGGATCGCAGGGGACATGCATCAGTAATAAACGGAGAGACAAAAGAGGTGTTCATGAAATTTCTTGTTAACTCTGTTATCAAATATCAAAACAACCATTATTTCCATGTCAAATTCAATGTTAAAGGGATAAATAATAATAAATAAACAATAGTGACATATCCGGTCTCAAATGAATGAAGGTGCACAAATATTTTGTTATGCTGTGCGTTAATTATATGTTAATCTAATTTACACCGTACTGCAAATAAAGAAATGTCGCCGTCTGTATCAAATATCACGTGATTGACGGAATTAATTACCATTGTGAAAAATCATTTGACATTTGTTAGATGTCTAACATAAAAAAACTAGTTGGCTCTGCGTTGATTTCCTGCATCGATACGTCTGGATGCCAGATATAATCAAACAAGTTTACATTTGTCTGTTACTTGGCTGTGATAGCGTTCAATGTAAATGGTTTACTTTAAATACTTCAAAATGACGAGAGAAGAAGTAATGATAATTATTGACATGCATTTGTTGAATGGTAATACGGGAGACTAGGGGATGTTTTGTAATGTGCATAACATGTCTAAACTAGTTTTAATCATTCTAATTGAAACTTTAAACGGACTTTTTGTTGTTTTGATCGCGAGATCAAATTTACATACGATTGACCTGAGAATTGCAGGAATAATTGGTTTGAGAACAAATCATACTGATAATTATTTACAGTGACTTTTATTGTTTTTTAATAGCTTTGTGGCGAAATAGTATTTGACAGGTGTGTGTGAAGTATCGTACAAAAATATAGTGCACTCACCCAACCTTTCCGCTCCTTAGTTAATTTTAGTCTCGAATTGAATATTTTTATTGCTAAGTAGAAACGTAACAACCAGTTTGCACAGATAAATTTTAATTAACTTTGGATTCCCTTATCTTTAATGTGAAAATGTACTTATTTGTCTTTAATAAACTTAACCAAGAGTAATACAATACTAGGTAAACAAAATTTCATCATTCATAAATATATAAATAAATTAATTTCTGATTTTTACGGAAATTTAGAAGAAGATTATATCCCTGTGGAATGAAGGAACATAATATACTGTGTTTTTAGCATTTGTAAGCATTTCATCTACAAAGATCAGGCTTCTGGAGGCAAGGTAAGGAATATAACATACTGCGTATTTAGCATTTGTAAGCAACTCATCTACAAAGATCGGGCTTCTTGAGGCCAGGGATTAAAACTTCGATTAGTAAGTTGATAAGTGGAAGTAAAAGTAGCAAATACGAGAGAATGAAACTGACATAAATACACACAAGGAAACAGTTTCTCGAATTCAATATTCATTGGATAGTATGGTACATTTTCAGAAGGAATAATTGTTTATACAGACTATTACAACACTTATATTTTGAGTGTAACTTAAATGACTGTTCGTCACAATTCCTTCCTCATTTTCAGTCCCTTAATTTAATTCTTGTTCAACCAGTATACTTCCACACGTAACTCGTATTCTTTTTACTTCCATGTGCTGACTTTAGGGTCTTATTATTATTCAGATATAAACTGAAATATATCTGCAAAAATAATTTAATTGTTTTATACGCAGGAAAGCGTAAACACACACACATGCAAGCATACATACACAAACACCACACACACACACACACACACACATATATATATATATATATATATATATATATATATATATATATATATATATATATATATATATATATATATATATATATATATATATATATATATATACACACACCAGTCAGCGTGGAAAGTGATTCACCACGTGGATGCCTTTTACCATAGAGTGAAATTATATATTGAGAAAAATGAGAAAAAATATTATCATGCAGAGTAGATTTTATTTTAATTCATCCATACTGAGATTCAATCCCAGGTGCGCTGGTTACGGCACGAATCGCCTTGCATGTGCGCGCCAACCCCATTTTGAAATACTGGGTCAGCATTGAAGCGTGCCTGCCTCGCACAAAAGCTCATATTAGTTTCTTTGTTCAGTCTCTTCTGATATTTAAAGTATTATTGCCTAACAATCTGGCAGATTCCATGAGGATATTGTTCTGCATACAGTTTCGTTTGAAACAGATAATGGAACGAAATAAAAAGTAGTAGTAGTAGTAGTAGTAGTAGTAGTAGTAGTAGTAGTAGTAGTAGTAGTAGTAGTAGTAGTAAATGGAAGCACAGAGCAATTTGTCGGCGTAATTTGCTCCAGATATGTGAAAACACAGCAAAATAATTGTCTTCAATTATTGGCGTTGATAATAAGCCAACTTTATAAAGCAGCTGGAAAATTGTTCTATTTGATTGTGTCATTTTATCATTATGCTATTAGTATATTTGCTTTTTGCATTTGTTATCAGTTTTAAGCTCAACAAGATTAGAAACTCGTAAATATTTCGAAAAGAACATGTCTTTAAAAATAGGTCATGGAACTATTAACATCAATAAATATCATTGTTTATTTCTTGATCATACTTTGAGTTGACTCGGTCATCAAACCTTGTGTGGAATGTCTCTTCGGGCCAAGTCAGCTTTGTTTTCTGATATGCACTTCGTGATTGTCATACGTCATTTTAAACATAAAGTATCGTACCACATCATCACACTGACAATAAAACCACTATCCTCATAATCCTTATTCTCCATTTTCTTTGTACAGGTTTCGTCTTCTGATTTCTTTATCTCCATAAATTATCTGTCTCTATGTCACTGATTGTTTTACATTCTGTGTAAAAATATTATTTACTTAGTCGGTAGAGAACAGGGAACGATGGAGATAATTGGTTGTAAAGTCAACTGTGGTGCCTCAACGACCTCTTAGGTTAAGGGATTCATGATGATGATGATGATGATGATGATGATGATGATGATGATGATGATGATGATGATGATGATGATGATGATGATGATGATGATGATGATGATGATGACGATGATGATGACGATGATGATGATGACGATGATGATGATGAAGAAGAAGACTAAGTTTGTATTGATAATAGGGTTCAACCAAGATACTGGACTTCTTTAAATTGTTATATCCAGCTATACTAGTCTCCCTTGTAACTATGTTACTCGCTAAAAGAAACCGTTACTGCCTTCACAGACTTATCCGACTTTACTCCTTAATCTAATATTTATTGGTGGAGACCAACCATTATGTGTTTTATGTGTCGCAACCATTGTTCACGAGGTATATGTGGCTCTCTTAACGTGATGACAGGGTTAAATGCTGTCAAAATGGATCACGTAATACTTGTTCTATCTTGAACTTGTGCATCTAAGATAGACATGACCTAATACATTTTAGGGCCCTGAGTGGCCTAGTGATCTAAAGAGCTCATCGTTACTGATCAATGCCGTTTCATCTCTCTCTCTCTCTCTCTCTCTCTCTCTCTCTCTCTCTCTCTCTCTCTCTCTCTCTCTCTCTCTCTCTCTCTCTCTCTCTCTCTCTCTCTCTCTCTCTCTCTCTCTCTGCGTGTGTTCGAGTCTCGGGCTCGGCCAATGTGGATACGTGAGAAAGCTTGCCAGTAGCTTCTCGTGGGTCGGTGGTTCTCTCCGGGGCTTTTCTGGGCTATTCTTCCACCATTGATACTCGCCGCCATGTATAGCCTATCGTAAGCTGAAAAAATGACATTAAACCCTACAACAACTACAATATGTATACAGTCTTCCTTACCTACCTTTTTGACGTTACTCAAAGCCGTGATCTGAAATTACGAGTCTTTTCATTAAAAGCTTGCGAATATAGTCTATCAACTGTTTATTTTATTGTAATCATTAACTTATCTCCAGTAGGAATGATATGAAATGTAACAATCTGTACACATGATGTTTAAGATCTATGTTTTTTTACTGCATTAAGCAGTTGTTGACCGACTAAAGGTATACTTCATATAGAAAACAGTAAAATATTTTTTAAAATGTCTTTTCTTACTAAGATAGACTTGCACCTGTCTAACGTCAGTAGGAAATGTAATAACTATAGTCATCAATGTTGTCCGGTGTAACTGATTTTGTTAAAATCTCATAACACACTGTGATCTGCATCTATTTTCGTCATTCTTTTATTGGACCTTGACATCATAAATGTTAAACATGTTTCATATATTTTTATGTGACAACGCTATTTTTAGTGTAGTAAATTTTTATGTAGTTGATAACGTTTGATGCAGTCAGGTTAATTGTGGTATTAAGCAGAAAGGTAAGAGAAAGGTGTAGTGTTGCAGTTGTATTTTTTTAAATGCTAAGTGGACAAAAGATGTAATGATGTATCTTCTTTGTGTTAAATTTAAGGCAAGTCTAAATATCACACGATTACACGACATTTGCGTGATTTACCTAGCCCTTTTGTTGCATGAAATCTCGCGGTTTCGCATGCAATATTTTTATTGTATTTGTTTCCGAGCATCTAAGTTCAGATAGAAATAAATTTCCTAATTTAAATAAATCTCTTTTCATTTCCTCTGCAGTGTCTTTTATTACCTTGCGAAGGGATTTTGTGGATTTTAGTAGCCTCATCCCGTTTTGTATGTATACTTCTCTGTTATATACATGTTATCTATTTGGATAAACTTTCTTTTTATACCGCTAGTGTCTCAACAGAAATTTTCGTATCATTCATGTTCTGGCTCCTTCAGGCTCTAAAGTGTCGAGTCTTCTACATCCTAAAAATTATAGAAACTTTTTATCGTTCAAAAACGCAAAGTATTCATTGATGTCATAGTTGTATTCTTCATCCGTCTTCTATGATAATGATGTTTGCTTTATTCATTGATTCAGATAATATTCGTATAGCCTTTACCATTAATGAGTGCGTACATTTTATCCTTCATTTCCTTTTGTCTTCAGAATCGTTATAACCTGGTAAATGCAGTCTTGTTAGCTATCTTTTTTATTATACAGATGTAAAATTCTTATCTTAAACTAATGCCCTCGAATATCTCCTCCTTTAGTCTCCCAATTTGCAAACTATTCGATCACCTAAAATTCGAACAAGTGTAAAAGGTATCCCTTTCCCAAAATAGATTTGTACTTTGTAATTCTGACTGTTTCGCTGGTTTTAAATTTTGGACTTTTGGATGCTTTGATTATCGTGTAGCCAAACGACTTATCCCATATATTTGATATATTTTCTTTCTTTCTTGCTTAAATAGACAAATTAACCTATGTTGGGTGTTGCTGAAAGCATCAATTTGCCCTGGTAGAACTTCAACTTAATTTCGGATTTTATTTTGCGCGCAATACTTCCATATTTTTAACGTTAACTTTATATTGAACCTTTCCCCAGATGCATTTTCATCTGAGTAAGCTGAAAAGTATTCAAACTTTTCTCTTCCAGCAAATCTCTGCTACTTCTGTTGAAAAATTCTTATCTTTAATCAACCGCATCGTTTATGGTTTGAATAAATTTAATATATATGTCAAAGATATACTTCACATGTGTCGTCTTTCTATTCTATTTTTTTCCTTTTTGTCCTGAAATGTATTTCGTGAAAAGTACCTATCACTGTTAAAATGTATTTGTGTCCAACGTTGTTTTCCTCACATTCTTGCATGGCATCAACGTAAGCCTGCCACTTATCATCCATCTGACTCGCATGGGACGATATTTGTTATTTGCTTGTGTAATATGTACGTAGACTGCTCAGTTAACCATTGTTAAATTCAATGTAATAACACTTCAATATAATCTAGAAAAAATAATCCCCAGCCTCACGGACTAAAACAGAGACAAAACTTGAATAGGGCCACATGGGAAACGTTTCCTTCCTTCGAACGACTGATTGTTTTCAAAAATAGTAGATCCAATATTCATATGTACAAAATTACTCCAAGCGACATTTAAACGTATCAACAAAATGTGGTTTGATGATCAATTCAAACACGCTTTCAGTAAACGGAATAAGGTTTTTAAAATGCATCCCAATCTAATAGCTGATCGTCTGAGTACATGTCGTATATACCAAGCTTATGCTTGTACTAATTTTAACAGCAGCAAGAGAAAAAGATGTATAGCCTATATCTCTTTATTGAAACCTAGCTTCTCTATTAAATTAGTTGGCAATATGGCAATAAGTGCCAAAGATTATTATACAAAAGGCATGGTGCCAAGAGATTCGATTCTTGATCTGTTCTGGACGAATAAATAAATAGGAATTATACGTTGATACAGATGTCACTGCTTTCATGTTATTCTCACGAAATATTTGTATGACTTAAACAAAGTGTTGAATTTTGCACAGATGCAGCTTTGTGCCATTACTTATGGTTGCAAAAATACATTGTTATTTTGTGTTGGCTCTAAGATAACCGTGTGTTAGACTGTCTGCATATTTTGATGCAAGTCATCAGCTTCGAATCAATAACTATGGAACAGGGCTGTTTTTGCAATTGTAATTTACAATAAAAATCAATTCGTAATAATCAATTCACTACTAATCATTACGTTCTTCCCGTATCCTCTTTCCAGCTCTTACTAATGTCGCTTTTCTTCACTTCACTTGTCGCTAATGGTTCAACTCATGTTTACATTATTAAGCTTTAGTTATAACTTTAGCTCTCCTATTTCAGTACTTCACGCGAAACTTAATTTCGATATACATACAAGTGACTTTCAAGTTTATGGGTTCCTGTAAAAAATCTACTTAATTGTACATGATGCACAAAAAATGGGTACTAACCCAAGAAAACACAGGATAATCATCATATTCAGGAAATGAGATAAATAAATATTTAAGCTAATACAGCTTTTTCAGTAGGATTGCATACGTTCTCTTTCATAAGATTCCATATCTGAAATAGGTAACCTCTTTACTCGTCTTCTATCAATGCGAGAGAGAGAGAGAGAGAGAGAGAGAGAGAGAGAGAGAGAGAGAGAGAGAGAGAGAGAGAGAGAGAGAGAGAGAGAGAGAGAGAGAGAGAGAGAGAGAGATGCCTAGGGCCCCGTGCAGCAGGGGGCCATGCGGCGGCCCAGAAACACAAACTTTCAGTGATATTGTGTTAGTAGTTTAGTACTATATTAATAATTTAACAAAATGACACACAAGCACATGGAAATGCAATGCAATAAATTCAATACTCTGTATTTGAGACTGAGAGATTAAGGCGCAATTATAGTAACTTTTAGGGTTAGAGTTCGTGCCTAAGACACCAAACGTCTTAAAACGGCTGTGAGAGAGAGATAGAGAGAGAGAGAGAGAGAGAGAGAGAGAGAGAGAGAGAGAGAGAGAGAGAGAGAGAGAGAGAGAGAGAGAGAGAGAGAGAGAGAGAGAGAGTGTGTCTCATATTCACGAATATTTTCAGCTTTTTATAATTGCTCTATCTCTCGGAGTTATACTGATTAGAACTTTACATACGTGGCTAAAGTTAACTCTGCTTAAACATGCAACTCAGAATAAGGGTGTGATTGTATTGAAGTTAATACATTTCAATGTAAATTATATCTCTTATCGGGTTTCAGGGCGGTTGACATGCGAATTGATTTCGCAACGAAAATTAACACCCTAATGGAAAATATTTGCACCACATTTGAAAAGAAATTAAATTTAAATGAATGATAATTAAGTAACATTACACATATTTTTTTATTGTGAAGAGGATGTTTTGACCACATACTTACCAGAGTAGCAAACCAAGGTTGATCCAATAGTAAGAAATGAGCCCACGCCTTTTCGGTTGCGAATCATGTGAGTTAAACATTGAGCTATCGAGAAAGGAGAAGAACAATGTTTTTTTATATTCCATAACCAACGAGAGAGAGAGAGAGAGAGAGAGAGAGAGAGAGAGAGAGAGAGAGAGAGAGAGAGAGAGAGAGAGAGAGAGAGAGAGAGAGAGAGAGAGAGAGAGAGAGAGAGAGAGAGAGAGAGAGAGATTAATAAATATATTTGTACAAATAAATAAATATCTTGTAACTTCTGCACAAAAAGATACGAATATAAACCATTTGTTTCAAAGATTCTCCTATTCATATCGCATTTCACCATCCATTAAAACTCTACAACATTGCAGGTTTTGTCCACATGTAATAATAACACATGGGTAAAAGGTGTTCTTTATCAGAGATTCTAGTTATCTCAGGTACGAATAGAAATTATCTTCATTGATGTGTAAATGGCGCGTAGCTGCGTTTAAAGCCTCGTAGCTGATAGATGTCTATTTTGAAAAATGCATTATATTTACTGCTGTTGATACACGACATGATATCCGCTTAGATTCGACGCATAATTTATTATAAGTAGTTTTGAAATCACCACAATGAAATTTATCTTTATTTATTTACGATGCCATTTGTATCAAATTGCCATTTAATGTAAAAAAACATATATAAAAATACTGAAGGAATAAAATCATTTACGTGAACACATGGATGTAAATAAATCTATGAAGCACGTGGTACCATGTTATATGTAAGTCATCGAGATATTTATTTATTTATTTGATTTTTTAAAATTTATTTATTTATTCATTAACCCGACCTTTTCTCACATTGCCAGATCACTTTACAGCTGGCATTTTGTAAATCAAACATTGAATAGGAGTCATTCTCAAATAACCTTATTCCAACACGGTATGTTAGACGAGAGGTCAAAAAGAATCTAAACTCCCTATCTGCAAAAAAGGTACTAGGTTTGCATGTTGTACAGAATGTTCAATACTTCAGCTAAGCACGCATGTCTCTGTGTGTGTGTTTGTTTGTGTGTGTGTGATTTGGAATTTTAAAGTAGTTTTAACAATTTGTCAGTCATATCATTACGATATCTGCAGTGTGACAGTTTAGAGTGATGTCTAGCACTGGGGCATCATGCTTTAGACATGTAGCATCCAGTCACATTATCCTGAGCACTAACCTCTTAATGCTGAGCGCAAAGCAAGGCAGCTGTTTGTACCATTGTCATCAGTCTTTGGTATGCTTCTGCCGGGGTTCAAACCCGCGACCTCCCGCATCCGAGGCGGACGCTCTAACCACTAGAGCCACCGGAGCTGTAAAACACATGTCAGTCATAAGTCGAACACAGATACGGACAGGTCAGAAATAACTTGTGTAATAAAACCATGATTTTGTTTATTTGTCATTTAATATAATCTATCAAAATAGAAAAGAGATGTCTTTTGGTATATATATATATATATATATATATATATATATATATATATATATATATATATATATATATATATATATATATATATATATATATATATATATATATATATATATATATATATATATATATATATATATATATACATGTGTGTGTGTGTGTGTGTGTGTACAAGAAGACATATCCTGTAGGTAAGTCTTTATCTTTACTGTGTGGGTACATATGCATCGTAAATTCTATGTTACGTTATTCGGTAAAATCCTCCCAGTACATTTTAGATAGAAAGGGTTGTTTATGATTTATTTTATAAAAATCAAACGTGTGTATGTAATTTGGAGTCAAATGTATTTATGATATCATTTTACAGAGTTGCTCATAAAATCCATAAAATGCTAAAGAGTATCAAGCAATATTTTAACATATCTTTCTTATCTCTCCCAAATTCGCATATCCAACGGAGTTTCGTTTAGATATGCGATAAAAACCTAATTATTCCGTGAACCAAGAAGTTGACTGCTTCGGGCCATGCTGAGTAAACATTTCCAATTAACCAACGGCAATCGGCTCAAATGATTCCTACAATATCCTCTTTATTTAATTAGGTTGGTTCCATGGCTATATAATTGTATAGCAGACGGCATTGTGACTTGTAATACAGGGATGAAATAGTGTGTTCTAAGATCCTCAGTCTATCGACGTGTGATGTCTACCTGTGGTCCTGGTAGTGCAAACTTCACATTCGTCCGTATTTCGTCATGACTTTTGAAACACCATTTATTCCATTGCAGCATAATGAAAATATCCTGCATAATATCTTTCTACTCTGATAACATAATATCATTTTGAGTAAACCTCTATTTCTTTTTTTTCTTGTATGTATGTATGTATGTATGTATGTATGTATGTATGTATGTATGTATGTATGTATGTATGTATGTATGTATGTATGTATGTATGTATGTATGTATGTATGTATGTATGTATGTATGTATGTATGTATGTATGTATGTATGTATGTATGTATGTCTCTTCTAAAGTGATTTCATTCAGTTGTTTTTTATTATTACACAATACAGATATAAACATAACTTGACAATAATGGATACACAGCATATTAAACCTGCAGTATATATCAAAAAAGTAAAGCAAACACAATATCTAAACTCTTTATTAAGAGAACTCTTCGAGGAAATATATAATCAACATAAATTAAAAGAGGGAGAAGAAAAATAATTAAATTTTTTACATTCGACAGGAACGATTTAGAAGGATTTTCTGATTGTCTCTCACTTTGAACACTTGCGAATAATGTATGTGATAGAAATGAAATGGGTCCATTTCCCTAATATAATGTACATGTATAGTCAGATATCGTTTTCAAATTAATTTGTTCTTCTGTACATTGTGTATATTCCTTCAGCCACCAGACACATGATTGCCTGCCATGATTGACCATCCATAGAATCAAAGATATTCACTTTCTTGCTCAAAAAGATACCAAGTATTGAATCATTATCCTAATAAAATAGCCACTGTGAATTTAGTATGTCTATTGTATCTATTATTCTTTCAAACATAGTGCTAAGTTCATCATTTAGAGCTTGACAGTAGAGTAAAATATACTTGGCTCTTGTATAAAGTCAATGTTTTGCAGAGTTTAAATTTATATCCATTCTCTGTTGAAATTGAATACATTGTTAAATAGAAAATGTTAGCGAAAGACCAAGTTTTATTAGGAAAACATTTACCAAGCTTCCAGACAGCTAGTGGTTGAAGATTAGTAAGAACACTTGCATAATGTAAAAGTTCGGGTGTCATTTGAAGTATAGTTCTCCACAATGATTCTGCGCAGCATTGAACTGCCGTTTCAATACTCCTCCACCAGACTGGTTTCGGGATAGAATATAGGATATTCAAATAAAGGTGGAAGAAACCGCCAAGCTGGTATTTCAAAAGAACTATCTCGTGTATAAAAAAGTCAATACTTTTCTGTTCATTTAGAATTTTCCATGCTAGTGAACCGTTGGCTATGCAGATTTTATTGAAGAAACCTAATCTGATTTTATCTACATATCCCTCAACTGACCAAAGTCCAAGACTGCTAACTGTCGACTTCATAGATGAGTGCTGATCGAGACCTATAATTCTTCTTGCCGCTTTTATTTGACATACTTCTAGATTATATACATGTGAATGGCTCAAGTTTGACCATAACTCACATCCATATGCTATAGCAGGTAGTATTGTTTTTGACCGTATTTTAGCACTATTAATTGGACTCATACCATCCTTTTCAATGCCAGTTCCAATAAGCGAGTAAAATACTGATCATCCATTATCACAAGCATTTCTCGCTGCAGCAGTATTAGAAAGATCAGTGAAGAGAGTAACCCCAACAAATATTCTAGAGGAAACTATAGGAATCCTTTTATCTCCAAGCATGAATATAGAAAGGATATTAGATCATTTACCATGACTAGGAAAAACCAGTGCTGATAACGCTTTTCCTTGTCCTATCCCTTGATTGACTAATTTCGAATGATGGCCGTTGATAAGAACAAAGGCCCTAACATTCAGAAAAGAAT